GGGGAGGCCAGTCCACTGCCTCTCACCTGCTTCTCTTTGCTTATTGTTGAACTCATGAGCACACACATCAAGTTCCCCTCAAAGGGCCATTTACATGTTCAACCTCATATTACCAGTCTAGGAGTGAATTTATTGGCTACAAAGATATTTATGAAAATAGAGATTCTCGAAATTTTCGGTTATATCTTTCATTAATGTGAAGGATGCCTTGTCCTTGTACCTGGAAAGTGTGGTAGCAAGCAACCCATCAGGTGGTTGGCATTAAGGATGTCCAAGAGGTGGATATTTTGGTGGCAAGCGCAGGTTTAGCAGTAGATTGTCATTGCTTGGTAGGGAGAGCCTAGATTGTGGGGGGCATTTACTTGGGTGTCCTGTCTTGTGACAACTTTGAGTCATTGGTGGTGGTTGCCTGGATGGTTGGCTTGAGAAGGAAAGAGTGCTATGTCTTTTATGGACCTAGAAGTGTGGAATGTATTCCAAGGGCACTTAATGCTGAATGGCCGTGGATACACCTAGGAACCCTTTCAATCCATCTTGACTCACTGGTAGAGTATTTTAGTGGGGTTGAATTTGAAAAGGTGATTTGTAGACCTAAATTACCCAGCTATGGAGAAGTGACGTGCAGCAGTCAGGGACCTAAGCATGACAGCGTGCCCAGAGGTTTTCTCACGTGGACACTCTGATCCCCACAGTAGAGTCTTAGGCCACAGTTTATTACGTAGCCCAATTGCTCTCTCAGGATGGATGCTTTTTCTTGTAGCTACTCATTCTTTTTTTGTTTGTTCTTTTTTTAAAATTTATTCTTAAGTTTTAGGTGGCCCCAATATCCTTATTTTACATTTATATGGTGCTGAGATCAAACCCAGTGCCTCGTGCATGTTAGGCAAGGGCTCTACCACTGAGCCACAAACCCAGTCCCTGTTTCTTTGTTCTTTTTAGATATCCATGTCAGTAGAGTACCTTTTCACATATCATACATACCCAGAGGATAACATATTCTGATTAGGATCCCATTCTTGTGATTGTACGTGCTGTGGAGTTTCCCTGTGGTGTGTTCATACATGGACATAGGAAACTTAACGTTCAGTTCATTCTACTGTCTTTCCGATTCCCACCACTCTTGCCTTCACTCATCTATGTCTAGTCCAGAGTACTTTGCTACTACTCATTCTTATGGTCAAACTAAAAAGAATTTGCCACTCTCACCAGACTTGAGCCTTTTCCCAATCTGGAAAAGGAAAATAAATCTCTCCCAGTAACAAATCCATATCCCCTCTAGTCCTCACACCCCAAAACATTCACAGCAACTGCTCATAAAGAGAGCTTGGAACACCACACACATGCTTCAGTCTGTTTTTATGGGCCATCTAATTAGCACAAATGTTGAGTCTTTATGGTTGCAGGAAAATCATAGGATAGCAGATCTGTAAATGGTACCTGCTCTTGCAACATGGAAATTGGATTTATTGAAGGAAATATAGAGACTTTAACCTAAATCACCTGTAATTATGTTATTTATAGAACAACACTCTGAGCTTTCTTGGGAGTCACGGACATCTTTGAGATTGTGATGAAAGCTGTAGCTTCTATCCCTTGAAAAAAAGCATGTAATAAGATATACCAAAGTATCTGGGATGTACCAAAATTTAATCTAGGATCCATAGAACTTTTGCAACAGGAAACCTGTGGCATTCTTTATTTCCTGATGCAAAAGTTCTATGGGTCCCAGATTATATTTTCTTGTTTGCCACATATGACGTGGACTTTCAGGAGAAGATGTATATCAGCATTTTTCAAAACATAAATACTACAAGATAAACTACTAAGAGAGAAGTCCATGGTCAAAGAGTTTGTGGAGCTATGTGTACCTGGGGATTCAAAATTTATAAGGGTGTATTGGAACTTTGAAAAAGTCTTGCCATAAAGAAATCTTTTTATTCAATTTAAGATTTTGTATTTGAGACATTAACATCTCAGAGAAGATATTTTGGGAGATATTGGCAGACACATCTTGATCTAATAACCACTCATTTGCTTATTAGCCACTGGCTACAGACTTAATTTTGTGAATCTGAGTTTCTTACCTGTGATATTAAGACAATAATCCCAATGTCAAGTCAGTGACCTTGCATGGTAAATGTTAATTATTTTCTTACTTTTATTAAAAAGTTTCCCCTAGCTGGGCAGGATGGTGCATGCCTGTAAAGTCAGCTGCTTGGGAGGCTGAGGCAGAGGATTGCAAGTTCAAAGCCAGCCTTAGCAATTTTGTGAGGTCCAAAGCAACCGTCTCAATACAAAAAAATACAGAGCTGGACAATTCACAATAGATAAATTGTGGAACCAACCTAGATGCCTTTCAGTAGATGAATAGATAAAGAAAATGTGGTATATATACACGGTGGAATATTACTCAGCATTAAAAACCACGGCATTTGCCAGTAAATGGATGGAGTTGGAGAATATTATGCTGAGTAAAGTAAGCCAATCACAATAAACCAAGTGCTGAATGTTTTCTCTGGTAAGTGGATGCTGATCCATAATGTGGATGTGGGGCGGGGAACATGGGAGGAATGGAGGAACTTTAGATAGGGCAAAGGGGAGGGAGGGGGAGGGAAGGAGTGGGCGTGGAAAGACGATGGAATGAGATGGACATCATTACCCCAAGTACATATATGTGTACTATGCATTCTGAAATTGAAAAGCATTCTGCTGTCATATATAACAAATTAAAATAAATAAATAAAATTTAAAAAGCACATACTACTCCATTAATATGTAAAATAAGTGTACTTTTATGTATAAGTTAGAAAATAAATAAAAATAAAGAGATGGGGATGTGGCTCTGTAGTAGAGTGCCACTGGGTTCAATCCCTGGTACCCCCCCCCAAATTATATACATATATTATATAATATTATATAATTATATTATATACATATTATATAATTATGCACTTGTATATGATATATATGGATACACACACATATCTATTATATAAAATAGAATATGAAATGTAGTGCATTATATGTTTTTGACAAAATTGCTTTGGCTAGCACTAGAATTCTCTAGAGAGCACAGTCTGGGAACAGGGATCATTTGTAAGCAAAGAGACTCCTGTTGTAGTTTCAGAATCCTCTGCTAATCCTGCATCTTGGGGCCCGTTTTTGCTGGTTTGTAGAATAAAACGGTGACAACGTTATCCACAACAAAGCATTTATCCGTTCACTGTTCGATTTCACAGTCACTGTAACAATCATCGTGGAGATCACTCCTGCCAATGACTTCAGCCCCGTGTTTGAAGCTGCACACTATTCATTCTCCGTTCTGGAAACGTCAGGAGGTAAGAGTTCCCTTGCTTCTATCATGTACAAGCATCCATCAGGAAACATCATCAGATCTCAAGGGAATGATTGATAGAATCAGAGCATGGAAATTTCCAGAATGCAAGCAGATGAGAGAGCATCTTCAGAGAGCAAGTGAATTTTCAATGTATCATCCTGATGATTTCCCCAAAGACTCCCATGAGATCAGATCTAGGGATAAACCTACAGTATTAACTTTATTTCACTCCACTTCTCTTTTGCCTCAAAACTAGGGCCAGGTCTAAAGAAGTAGGGGCAATGCAGTCATTTCTGATGCAATTTAAAAGTCTTCTGAGAGTTGAGCTCCAAGACTTTAGATCTGGAGTTAAGACCATGGTTAGGGATCTAGCTCAGTTGTAAGTTAGATATGAATGAGGACATATTTGTTAGCCGAGACCAGGGAGCATTAGATTGGGAAAGGGCAGCAGAAGTGACATCGACACTTTCTGACATCTAAGAGAGGAATGTATCCTCAGCACCTCTGGAGGGTGCATCCTCCAGGCTTGATTTCAGTACTTCAAGGATGGAACTAGTTGTGTACTGGAATCAAATCACATGGGAGTCCAATAGGATTGAACTCAAATCTGTATCTGCTACCACTAGTTAAATGACCTTTGACAAGTCACATAATCTCTACATACCTTTGAGAATTCTACGTAAGATGAAGATTACAATAATTATCTCAAGGAGCTGAGGACTAATAATTGTATGTATGCTAACTACAGGAAACATACTAAAATATCCATGTTATCATTGCCAATAACAATAATACCAGTAACATTTACTGAATGGAGTGTCTACGATGTACAATGTGCTAAAATATTTTTCTTGCTTAAAAATAATTTCTTGCCAGGTATGGTGGTGCACACCTGTCATCCCAGCTACTAGGGAGGCTGAGGCAGGAGGATCATGAGTTAAAAGCCAGCCTCAGCAACTTAGTGAGGCCCTAAGCAACTCAGTGAGACCCTGCCTCTAAGTAAAATACAAAATAGGGCTGAGGAGGTGGCTCAGTAGTCAAGTGCCCCTGATTCAATTCCCAGTACCCCTGCACCCCCCCCCACCAAGAAATTCCTTCACCTTTCCCACTAGAGTACCTAAACTGAATGAAATTAGCATCGTGTTGATTTTCCAAGGAGCTATTTATCAGAGGATCATCAGAACTGAGTGGTGATTTGCTCTGAGGAGTAAATTGCAAATTTAAAACCACTTTGAACACAGACTGTACTCAGAATATCAAACATTTAGCCTATAGATCTTGAAGACATTTTAAAAATTCATTAAGGTGGGAGTCTTTTCTCACACTGAATTTATTAGCATTGGGGACCTAGATGTGTCTTGAGATATATATGAAGTTTTTTCCCTTAATAAAATTACGGGAATCAGCAACATTTAAAGTAAAAAAAAAAA